TGGAGACATGTTGAAAGTTGTTGTTCTAAAAGTATGAATCAGATTTAAAAGTTGTGTTACACGAATAATGTCAGAAAGATGTGTAACATTTTAAAGTTGAAATGAGGTTTCTGAGTGAAAGTATGAAGGAACAGTTAGCACCGGACAACCCCCTTCCCCCCCCACTCCCATTGCTCTCCGGGCGCTGTACAATAGCTGCCCACTGCTCCTAGTACTAGACTCCTGGTACTAGGATGGGTTAAAAGCAGAGAACAAATTTCACTGTGTGCTGTGTGCTCTGCATGTGTGACCATTAAAGAGGGTTTCATCCCTCCCAGTTCCAATTCTTCTTCTTAGCAGTTGAAGTCGCATGAAGATTTTTCAAGTCTGAAGAGTTTCTCCATTGACTTCAATGTTAAAAATGTGATGAATTATGGGATGTATCTCTGGAATTATGAAAGTTATGAATGAGAAAAGTAATAGCCATCGATTCCCGACCGAGCTGAACGTTTTGATGTTTGAACGGAGTTTCTGCGATGTGGAATGTGGGAGAAGAAGAGGCGCAAAATAACCCGGCGGAATAATAAAGAATTTCGTGCTGGTGATGAAACTCTCCATTGGCTCGGCAAAAGTGTGTTGTTGTTTTGTGTCAGTTTTACGTCGCCACTTCCATTCACATTTTTCATCATTGTTCCACAATGTTTATCATCATTAAATTAATATCTATATATTTTATACTATACTTGCACTGCTTACCGTTGTCATACTTTATATATCTTAGCATATTCATACAACACACTGTTCATACTAGGCTAGGCTACTGTGTATATCTAGTGTATTCATACCCCTCACTGTTTTTTCATCATTCAATTCATTCTATATTTTATTCTGTAGATTGTGTACATTACTTTTCACTTTACTGCTTTATGCACTCCTGGTTAGAAGCTAAACTGCATTTCGTTGTCTCAGTACCTGTAATCTGTGCAATAACAATAAAGTTGAATCTAATCTTGAGCAGGAACAAATGTATTTACTTAGTACATATCTGACATTAACGATTAAACACATTTGTGCATTCTTTATAAATGCAAACCGAGTCAAGCCGACTCCGGAGGTGGCGGTATGCACCTTAAAGTTGTTTGCAATCCGCCAAAAAACCGAGAGAAGAAGAAGAAGAGGAAGAAGCCGACTCCGAGCTGTCCGACTTCAGGCAAGCTTTTTGAGACCTACCCCGGCTGCGATCGGCTATTCTCGTCTACTTTCGAGGCGAGCCGCAGCTCGTCTCAAACAAGCCTATTGTTTACTGCCGTCGGTGCCGTCTCGTCATCGTCTCGTTTTCGTCATGGAAAAAAAGGTCGTTGACGAACATATTTCGTCATAGTTTTAGTCAACGAAATTAACACTAATCAGCATTCCCACTAAATAAGCATATTGTAACAATGCACGTTATATGTTGATGTTTTATTAGTTCATGGGATTTGTTTTGTGCTGAGAATGTTTAGTTCTGCGGCATTTTGTTGTTGCTCCTATTATTGATTTAGTCATGTTGGTGACAGAACTTTGGCATTCTTTGAGATTTCTGTAAGTGGGTTTTTTTTTTTATTTGGTTTCTATCCAATTGTTCACGTTTCAAAGACTTTCCACTTGCTGCCATGAAATCAGACGCTGCTTTTGAATATTTACTTTTTCATTTAATTGTTTTTTTCATTTACTGCTTTTGTCAGTTTACTTCACTGTGTCTGATAGACAAATCTCAACAAACATTCTCATGTTACATTTACTCTCTTTAAGTGACAAGAATTCTTAAACTAAAACACGGCTGCCCAAGCAACTTTTAAACATGAGATATCACAAAATGTTCTCATTTCAGCAATACAATCTTCTCTTTCACTCAGTATGCATGTTCTTTTAAGTTAAAATGTTGGAGTTTTGGGACAAATATTACAGTATTGTTAATATATCACTAAATCCTGACTATCATGGTGAAGCAGGTGGCTTATTAACTGCTGTCTTAGCAAACAGTTGTGACATTTCGGCGACTCTCAGTGCGACCCCAGGATTGTGCTGAGGAGTCAGGATACCTTGGGTGTGTGCGAGTCACAGCAGGCCGCACTAATCACATTACATTTAGCCGTGACAAAGACAAGGCCATGTACAACTGAGATAGATGGATTAAACCAATTTACTAAGTATGGATTACCATTCAGTACAGTAATGAACTTGATGAGTGTTGTCTCGAGAAATATAGCAGAGGGGGAGAACGAGAAGATGATAGGAAGGGGAGATATGATCGTTTTATTTTGAAGACATGGGAAGAACTTCCTCTCTTCTGTAATTCATCATTATTGATTGTAAATTGTGTACCCGACAGAATTGTTTTTGTTCATTTGCACAGATTTTATGACCTTTACTTTGAGCAATAGAAGTTATATTTAAAGTAATGGCCTTTCCCTCGAAGCAGTATTTTAATGATGTAGCTGATCTGATGGCTCTTTATTCGGCTGGCTATATTCAACTCAATTATCCCATCAATTTTTATGAGCTCATAACCTGTTTCACATGTGAGATGTCAATCAGCAAAGCACTTAGTAATTACAGCTGTCAGGTTAGTTTAATGTAGTAAATGGGGAAAAAAAGAATTGCCTTTGGAAAAAACATGAGGAAAATCTCAAGCTTCAAAAATCTCAAGGAAAGAAATATTCTGTCATAATTACGATTGCAAAATATCTTGTGTATTGTCTTTTGGATACCGTTCAATAATGTGTTTCACTCATTTGTGCATGTTTAATGATCTAAAATGTACCAATTTTGCTTTAACGCATTAATATTAATCTCTGAATTGAGGCAAATTGACTATGTCAGTCCTCATAAAGAGCTTGTATTTGATTCATTAAAACATCTCTCATTAACTTCCTGCAGAGGTTATGTCTGATAAATGCTGAATGTTCTAGTAGTTATGAGGAAGTACATCTGCACAGTCAATCGAGTATTCTCCTCAGGAATGCTGTGAATAAATGAGGAGGAGAGAGTGTGCTTTAGTCGAGCCCCTTCTGGACTTTTTAATGTGTCCATTAGAAAAGTCCAGAAATTGCATTGTGTAGTTCTGCACCCTGAGTGCCGCTAATAGACTGAAAAATGGAGGTGCCATTCTGTCATGCATATGGATAGAATTACTTTAACATTTCTGTCAGGCGGAAACCTTTTCCCCTGGCATTCATGCCTTAAAAAAAAATCCACTGTGTTGTTCTTTCACATACCAGAGGCTGCATATAGAAACCGCTATAATACATGACTGCAAAATGTACTTCAAACCATCAATACACATGACATAATACACATCCTATTAGCAGTCTTGTCGAATAAAGTATTCATTTTCTGATCAAAACAGAACATTAGTATGCAGAGATCATTATGGCAGGTATGAGTAGTTGGTCTGCAATTGATTTAAGCCGCATATGAACTTGTGATTACCCATGCTGGGACTCATTCCAGTCATATATGTCACATTAGCATAACAAGCAGGAGAAACCTGAGCAGTAACTATTCGCCTTATAGACCCTATTCGTTGGGTGTAAAATGTGCAACATTTATTGTAGTACAGTTTATTACTATCGCATAAAACAGTTTTAATACCTGTGTTTCAGCTGCTCAGCCTATTCTATCAGTGTGTTGGAGTGTGTAGCAAGAGAGAGGTGAGAGGTGACGGGGGGAGGGATGTTGCAAAGGGGAGTAACACCAGGGGGAGGAGGATGGGAGAGCAGCTGAATATCATTAGAGGCATTTCCATTCTCGTCATACTACCATATTGAATTTTTCTGAAAGGGTGTCTTTTATTGTCCTCTTCATCCTTTGGGCAGATTCGTTTTCCAAGGAGCTGCTGATTTCATGTAATGCTAGTGCAACATTATGTTTTAAGTCACTTGCATTTCACAAGGAGAGGACTTATAAAGTTGAGGCCCGGAAATTGAGGCAGGGATTGACGACGCAAAAGGCAATTGTAAGGCTTTGAACCTGTTTCTCTGCCCTTGATCCTTTACAGATCAAGGTGAAACAATTATGTTTTTCCACCTCCCCTTTTGCCATGTTGTCTTTTTGCAGATGATCCTCTATTTATCAGGGACTGATTGAACAGTTCTTCAGATGGTGGATGCACACGAGGATGGCCATGAAAGTGCAGATTGCTTCCAACAGGTGCTGCATTTAATGCTTGGTGTCCCTAAGTGCCTTGGAAAATAATGATGCACCAGGCACTCAGCTAAAACATGATCAGTCATAAGGACCACTGGCTCTTTGAGGCCATCTCATACATATACATGTACATATGAGCACTTCATTGATCTCTGCCGAGAGGTCAGAGTGCAGATTCAGCTTCAGGAGCTGAAATCATCAGTGTCTTGTTGAAGTATGCTGTAACAGGTTGGGCTTTCACAGGAATTGAACTCTGGTCAACTGATTAAGAAATGTGATTGAAGCTAACCAGCAATAGCGACGATGAAATAATCATCAAATTAACTTTACAATTCTGTCACTTGTCTTGCTAATTTTGCATTGAAATGAAAGAAGTAACTATAAAAGATTTCAGGAAATCTAAGCATTTTTCATACATCTATATCATGTATTTTTGCAATGACTGGAGGGATTTGCCAGAATCCTTGATGTATTTGATTATTTCTGAATGTATTGATTTTCTATATCATTATATTTTCGACTTGGATGAGAGTGGGTTCTTTTTTGTTGTTAATGGAGAGAAAAAACAAAGTATAATATGACAAAATGTAAACATTTAAAGTACATTTTGGGTTCAAAATACTTGTATTTGCACAGTGTCATCATATAGACACTTACATGAAGAATATCTCCTCATTAGAAAACAATAGTTATCATTAATTGTACGCAATGAATACATGAAATATTGAGGCATGTGCATGTTCATACCATAGACTGTATATATAAAGGTTCATACTGGATATTTCACCTAAATGCAACATCGATCACATCACTTCCGGGTTACGGCACCGGAAACACTTCTCGTTGCAGAAAGGCGGATCCCTCTCGGCCACTTTGCCTTTCGGAACTTCTTTTGAGACTATTTTACCTGCCATTCCTTGGCAGGTCACGCTAAATCCAACAAAAATTACTTACTGAAGTATTAAAACGACATTTTATTCAGTCGAGTTCCACGACCGTACTCACCGCGACGACAGGGAGAGTTTCCAGCTACAACGTTAGCTAGCTAACTTTTAACGCACTAGCATATAACTTGACAACTGCCCTGCAGCATAACAGGGAAGGAACAACACCGAAGCACAGGAAGATGGCAGATAAAGACTTGATGTGGGCATTGAAGACCGGGGACATGGATGAAGTGGAATCCAAACTGGTAACGGTAAGACAGCTTTGATCTGAGTGTTTTTCAGTGGATTGTGTGCAACACTTTTCAGGCAAGTGGTTGCTGCTTAGCAAAGGTAACGAACGTCAGTTAGCCCACTGGCTAGCTAGCTAGCTAGCTAACGTGAGCTATAGTTGGGTAATGTTAAGTTAGGTAATCCAACATAGACAAGCTCTTGGTCTTGATACTGAGCTAGAATTCGTTTCGTAACATTTTAAGGCTGGTGTAACACTTTTGCATAGACTTAACATAACGTTCCAAGTCTGAACGCCATGTTAGCATTTTTAGCGACACACAGGCTATTTTTACCTGGAGAATAGGGAATGGGTCATATGCTATAGCACCAATCACATACATGTAGTCACTAACGATGTATGTAAACGTGCTGTGTTTGGCTTTGCCAAAAGAACATGTCTAAATCGGCTAGAAAATGTTGTCTTTTCACTTCCTACAGAAAGCAACCTGTTGGTAAGCTAACAGTTAACCAACAGCAGCATCAAATATAACGTGGAACATATTGAAAAAAGACAATTAACTGCTACTGCTATGTATATTGTAATGTCAATACATGCGTCATTGGGCCATTGTTATTATTGTCGGTAAAATAGATCCCTTCACATATGATTAGGATGTGCATAAGATTAGCTTATTGCTAGCGAGCTAACTACTACCGGGCCCTTGCATCAGTAGTGACAAGCTAACGTTGGTGGGCGGGGGTATCCGCTGTTGCAAAGGAGTAGAGGGTCCACCACGTTATCTAGAACAATCTGTTTAGAAGATCATTGCCCCCAATAAGTGCCTGTGTGTCCAAACTGATTTCCCTATATATCAGAAACTCCTGCTTCTGTAGAACAGATATAAAGATCTCAGTGTCTTATTGTGTACTTGTCTCTGCTTGAGCAAACTATTTTTGCTTTGATAAACAGTCCTACATTAAGTTATTGTGAATGTTGTCTTTATATGGGTTTGTAGTTAATGACATACAATTACAAATACTAATATCTGTTCTTCTGCGGTGTTAACATTTGCAACTTTTCTTTTCAAGTTTCAGAATTTTAGTATGGACTAGGTAGAGAAGCATTATTTTTTGTGACATCCCTTGCTTTAAAAAATTAGTTTTTAGGTGCCTTTTTAAAGGCGTCAACAGAGACAGATTGTCTATAGGAAATGCCTTCTAAGTCGGAAACTGCCGGAACTGACTGCTACAGTACAGACATGACTGATAAGCATGGTTAGTGTGGTGAGTGAGCAAGGAAGGGTGGTGATGTGTATGGTTGGTTTTCCTCTTGGCAGTCTGGGGTCTAACGGTACCACAACCGGGAAATGAAGGGCGGAGGATGGTGCATGTAATCGTTTGTTTATGAATTTCAGTTTGTGCTTATATCAACAGTGAAGGGTTTCATTTCCGGGTAATTTGATGTCCCTTTTAATGCATACCGTAGCTTGTTACAGCTCTGAGTTTATTTTTGTTAGCTTATTAATCTGTTGTCTTTCTCTTTTTCAGGCTGAAGATGTAAACCGGACCCTGGATGGTGGGAGGAGGCCTCTGCACTATGCTGCAGACTTTGGTCAGACGGATGTTGTGGCATACCTAATTTCTAAGGGAGCCGACGTTAATGTAAGAGCCCGAAACAACAGCTCCCATCGCATTAGTTTGCATTAATTTGTGTGTTGTTCATAGTTGCAAATACCACAAATAATAACAGTGCCCTTATCTGCTTCCCTTTTATAGCCTAGTTCAAACATACTGATAATGATCACACCAAATCAAGCAGTTACATAAAAGGCTCAAAATAGTCTGGCTGTTGAAACCAGTTCATCATGTATGTCAGTCATTGTCCATTCTCTCATTCAACAACTGTCTAGGCTCTCACACCTCACATTTACCTTCAGAGCCCCCCTGAGGTCAAGTAGTTTATTCTGGTGTTGTAGTAGATCTTTCATATCTATAAAAAGGCATTTACCATTCCAACAGTTTTGACATCCGTAATTCCGATGGAGCTCTTTTGTTATTTGCAAGGTCTCCTCAGCCTGTTCAGTATTCAGTAGAATTCCATGTGAAAAATACTTACAGAACAGTACACTTTTAGCCTTGGCCGGTAGCTTTGTTTTGAGTGTGAAACCAACTTTGATTAAATACTTTTGAGAACGTTTTTTTCAAGACCTAGATGGTTATTTGAAGATAAGCAGTGTTCTGTAGAGTTGTTAGGATACTTCTTGATGCTTAAAGTACCTACATTAGCTAGGCGAAATTGGATACAACAACTCCACATTATAGCATCCACTGGTCCGGTCTTCACAAACAGAAGGGTTTAATCTTGTAAAGACATAAAGTTTGTGCCTTTCCTACCTAGAACAAAATGTTTGTGAATTTCTCTATTTCTCTTGAAAACCAGCGCAGCTTCTGAAACATAGAAGATAAAAATAGTATTGAAGTGCAGTGTGCTCTCATTCAATTTCTGAAAATAATAAGAGACTGTGAGAAGTAAGGCCCTTTTCATAAGAGTTATTTTCTTTTATATTTGTGAAAGAGAGAGTGCTTGTGTAGGAGGATTGCGTTTGTGCTCTTGATCTGCTCATACATTACCTTCTCCACAGAAATGTCTGTCTCCCACTTATGCCTTTTCCACCTGCTCCATCCACAGGCTCCAGACAAACACGGGCTCACTCCACTGATCTCCGCCTGTTACGAGGGTCACGCCTCCTGTGTCAAGGTTCTGCTAGAAAAGGTTGGTACTGAGATTTATCCTTCACCTGCACACAGAATTACCCGGGTGTCCTTCACCCCTCAGTGCTTGTTGATATATCAGAGGCTGTATGAGTGCTGATGAGGTAACTCACTGGACAAAAGGCTCTTTAACACAGCCCTGCGGAGGCTGTGCTGGAATGTTCATAGAGCATGACACAGTATTGCTGCTGTTCACTTGTTTTGTGTCTGTTTTTAGGCAGATTTGTTCGTATGTACACAGCCCTTTGCTCCATCTAAATCTCAGCTCTGGAACTATCTTAGATGCTACAAATAGTCACGTTGTGCCTACACAGTCACAGCTGTAAAAAGAGAGACAATGAGTCAGGCAAAGCTGACATAAGCTGTAGAAATGCAACCAAATACCAAGCATACCGTTATGAAACTATACAAACGACAAACGATGTCTGCACCTCCATCAAATTCAGATTGAAAGTCCTATTTTTAGCTCTCTGCGGTAAAGTCTCTTTAACACCTTCCCTTAATATTTGACTTATAAGTGCATGCACTCAAATACATATAAATGACGGAAACTCTACTCATCTAGGCTGGTGAAATTCTGTTTCACCATAGCAGAAATGAGCCAGACTGCAGTGGGATTGATGCTCCTGTGGACAATGAATGTCACACTTATGTGGGCCACAATAGCTACTTGTCTTTCAAGACCTCCTTCAGTTCTTCGTCTTTGGTACTCCCCTGTCATTTAACATTTGCGTTTTGTTTAAAATAATATCCTGATTCAATATCATTATTCTTTTTATAGCTGCAGCTTTGCCCACAAAACCTGTCAACTTGATGCTGCAAATCATTTCAACACAAAATAATGAGGCTTTAGCAGTAAACACAGGAGACTTAAAACTAGTCTAAAATGTTGGTCAGTTTTAGTATATTGCTCGAATTGAAGGTAATGGCTCATGCTCAGCACCACTATGAGAGAGAAGCCTACAACTAAGAGGACTGCATGATGTCATGTAGACGGCTCGCACCCATTTACAGTCAAAGTCTGCCGCGGACAGATATGTGTTATGACAAGGAGAGATAAATATTCCAAGGCTGAGGGACAGTGAGCAGCTGTCTGTTCCCAGCCAGGCTAAATGAAGCAGGGTAAATGAAAGCTCCTCCACTGAGTTGTTTCACGGTGAAATCATCTTCAAGAGTAATGGTATGAAAGAAGGGGGCATTCACAAGCGGAGTCGATTAGGGAAGTCATTTATTGCATTCAAAACAATGACACATGCAAACTTCAGACAGACTTTCAATCAGTTCTCATTTTCAACTGCACTTTGACGTTTGAAAAGAGGAAACTGTAATCTATATGAGTAACACTGGTGTTTGCTTAGAGAGACACTTTCAAACTCTACTACTTACTTATTCCTGTTGGCATAGGCTGTATTAATTCCCCATTTTCATCAACACATCCACGGCCCCTCGCATCAGCAAGCCAGCGGAGTCTTGCGAGCAAGCGTCCAGCAGCTGGCTGCCGCTGTCAGCTGGCTGCCGCTGTCAGCTGGCTGTCAGTGCTGTTGGCCCAAAGATAAACTGAAAGTAACTGCCAACAGGATGAAAAAAGCATTTTACTACCAAGTTAATCATTTTCTATAAAAGATGCCAGGATAATGCGAGTTAGCACGGGCAGGTTGTTCTGACTTTTACTCGACACAGAACTGTGTTTTGTATTGTGGGCTATAACCTTTATTAACTGGTATTATTGTTGTGGCAACAAGACAGTTAAATGATCTTGGTCATCTATTTTGGTGAGGCCTTTTCTTAGAGGTAGGTCTGCTAAGAATGAGGAAGTGCAGGATGTATGTAGTTCAGATTCTCCTAGATGATGCAATGTATGTCCGTAGGTGATTTTAATATCAAATTGTCACGTGTCACTCCACATCACACTTATATGATTTGGAACAAAGGCCAGCATACTGTGCCTTTCACATGAAGTCTTCCTTGACGGGAGTCATTTTCGATTATTTCCCCAGCTACCAGTCAAATATCCACATCCTTGGTACATCCTTATGAAAGCCAGAAGCTTTCTACATCTGAAATGAGCAGCTATGTAATTACAACCTCTGAATCGAAATGAAAGCCCCTTGGGTGGACCTTTTTTATAAAAATAAAAAAAATAGCCTTTGTCTGGTATCATATGAGACTAAAAAGGCAGCTCATCTGAACAGGGATTACGGGGGATGCAGAGATAAAGGTGCAGCCACTGGCTCGCTCCTCATGGCTTCGTACTCATCCCCACTAAGCGCAAATGGGGATTAACACCCAGATGCAGCCAAAGGTCATCAGTCACCACAGGGACCAGATCTCAATACATCTACTCCTGGCGGCTCTGAAAACCCACCATGTGTCTTAACATGAGATGAATAGATTGTCCCACAGCCGCCCCATTGACCATGCCGCTGTATACCCACTTTGTCTGGCAACACAGTAGCCCCACAGCCTCCACAATACAGTGGATAAAGAGAACCCACTGAGAACACTGAGTTGTCACTATTCAGCTGTCAGACAGTCTTGAGTTTGCTGACAAAATGGCTTGGTTCCCTGGTGCATCATGGTAGCTGCCCTCCCTTACTGTGTGCTGTGCTGTTGTTGGCAATGAATAATAAAATGGCATTTTAACCCCAATAAGTGACCAGGCTGCTCGACCCTGACTGCAGCCCGCAGAGGCTGGCCAGTTTATTTTCAACAATGGAAGGGCATGCACACATGAATACAGACGCAGCCTTTTTTCTTCTATGAGAAACTGTGTACATGACCATTCACTAGAAAAGTTATTTGTTATTGTGGCATTGGCAACCATGACCCTTTTGCTTGGTTCCTCCCTTATTATCATGTGTCCTCAATAAAAAGTAGGGATTGGCCATTAATCTTTCACAGTAGTTTACAAGTGATTATTTAATGCAATACAGGCTAGTTAAGATTATATCCTAATGGCCGTTGCCAGTTTTATTGAGTTGACCTTTTTTTTAATTTTGATTGGTCAGACAAAACAAGCCATTCGATAAAGTCACCTTGGGTTCCGGGAAATCGTAATGTTGTTTTTTTTCATGACATTTAAATAATTGAGCAACTCATCTTGTGAAAAAATGGTTGCATCACTGATTCTTAATTTAATAAATAATTATCTTAAAAACAATAAAACATTAAATATCTATCATTAATGGTTATTGTTATCCAATTATGACTAAGGTTTGTTGTAGCTCCTTAATCTATTCCACATATATTTATTTCAACCTGAGCCCAGCTGACAAGTTTGTTGTTTGTAGCCTTTATTTAACCAGGTTAAAAAATCCCATCGAACGAACATGGTTTGCTCCAATACAGATATTGATCTTCCATCTTTTTTTTGCTGGGTGTTTGCCCTCTTACAGCTCAGTAATGTGTTACTGCTGCCAGCGGGTCAATAGTCTGATGGGAGCACTGCATTTCAACTAAGTTTTGAGCAATGCTCTGGCCCAATATTTGAAGAGTTGTGCATGGGAGACCTTTCACTTCCATTCAGCTGCTCAATAAAAACGTAATGGACCCTTTGGCAGGTCCGTGGCATTACATAACTGACATTACATTACCGACCCAGTGCTGCTTTGTATGCCTCCATATTTCAGGATGATGATGCATCTCGGTGAGACACCCTGGGAGTCTATTCTCATTCATTAGGTTGTGTCTCCCTTGGCCACTAGCTCGACTCTGACTGGATAATGTTTGGACAGTGAGGTGACCATGGGGGGGTCATTATTCAAGTGGGGGAAAGCTCATTAATTTAAGTGCTGTCACAACAAGTATGGCAAGATGCTCAATATCCATTGTGGATAGCATGGTTCATCATATGAGGCAGGAGTATGGGAGACCCTTTAGGATACTGATAAAGTCAATTTGAGTGTGGTGAGCAGGAGGGAATGCTTATTATACACACACCGTATACAATTGTTTGTGTACCTTTTTTATAGTATTGATGGTGACAGGGTTAAGGTAAAGGTGTAATGCTGTTTCCTGCCATCTAAATTAGGCCTGTAGAGTCTATTACCGAGTATGTATGTTCTTGAAACCGCTACTAATGACATCCCCGATGCTGGATAAATAAGGGAGGGGGGCGGGGCAGGCTTCCTCCTGTTTTTCCATCCTCCCCTTTAACCCCTCAAGTCTCGCGAGTAAAAAACACAATAATTGGTTACCTGTAAAAAGATTAAAAAAAAAAAAAAAGAAGCAGATATTGGAAAGGGTAAACAATTACTTATAACATTTTATCACCAGTTTAAAGTTAATGTTTCATACGTGGATAAAAAAACATAAGAAGTAAAAACTCTGTAGGCCCTCGTCACGTGCCAATTCTGCTAATTTCTTGCTACTTTTGGAGCTATGACTGATACCTACTTTCTTTGGAGAAGAGTTGGCAACATTGGGCTAATCTTCAAAAAGAAGGTTGTGTATTGAAACTGAAATAATGTAGCCTATGTTATTATTTGCATAAAAAGCGAGGAGATGAGAGCCCCTCAGCACAAGCGATCAAATCAACATAAATGCATTAAATGCCAGGTCCAAACTGGGTCACCAGTCGCCGGAGCTGAAATGTTACATAACGGGGCGTTAACATGGCTGATGTATTGACAGGTGCCCACAGCCTAAAAATGCAAAGCATGTTGTGAATTGACAAAATCGTCTGTTTCTTCTCATTCTTACCAATTAGGCTTTTACATCTGACAGGTCACCCGTGCAGCCCTTGTAAATCTTTCTGGCGCTCTGTTGCTCCTGTGTTACGGAATTTGCACCCAGACAATCATCCCCACACGGCCGGGCACTTGAACTGGGTCGCATTGTTTTTGATGCCCTGCTTCTCCACGCAACAATAGACTCACTCTGCCTTGGCTCTGTAAGCCCTTTGCTAAGAGGCTGAAGTTGGCAGGCCAAACAAAGGGTCGTCTCTCCCCTGTTTCCCATTTAATCTTTTGTCACTAACTTAATTTCTCTCTCCTTCTCTACATTCGTTTTTTTAATATTTTCTTTAGTAATCTGAATAATTGCATCCACTCATATCAGCTTTGTTATGCATGTGTTGTCTGGATAAAGACTGAAAGGCAAGTGCTAAATGACTGAGTTAGAGGAAAGTATTTTTGCCGTTTATGTTTGGTAACATATGGGTGGCTGTTTAAAGAGTGCATCTGGCCTTTGGCAAGAAATTCCTTTGATACACGATATGCACAGGATGATTTGCTTAATTAATTTCAACAATTGTTTCAGACTTATTGGATAGCATGTTCGTTGAAGGCATTGATGCAAGACATTGTTCAGTTTTCTTTTCAAAGGGCTTCAGCTCTATACAGATCTTGACCCCAAAAACATCTCTGCTCTTTGGGAATCATACCCGAAAACTAAAAGCTATATTGACTTTGTGACTGCTACAACTTGTCAAGAGAATTCATTCATACAGCCCAGACGGTGGTTGCTGATAGAGTTCTGAGGCTCGGCGATTGACATTTCTTGGATAGGCCAAAAACATTAAATGAAGTTCAAACATTCTGATTGTTTTTAACAGAACAAGATATTAAATAGAGGGAGTATGAGTCAATGATTATATAACACTTATTTTCAAGTCTAGAACCTGGCACTTTTTTGGTTTCAAATGGGCATAGGATGCTTTATTTTGTATTATGCTATAGATTGAGGTCTCTTTACCTCATCTTTACCCCTGACTCAATGAAGTGGAGTTGACATCCTACTGTAAGGAAGACTTGATGCGCCTGCTAAGCATATTTAATATTCATGTCCCCTCTCCTCCACAGGGAGCTGACAAAGACCGGAAAGGACCGGACGGCATCAGTGCCTTTGAAGCTGCCGAGGACGAAGCCATAAAGGCTCTGCTGAAGTGAGACCTTACAGTGTGTGAGGAGGCTGGACAGGTGGGTGAACGGACAGACAGATGGATGCAGTGGTCCCCTGACAGAAGATGGACTCCCCCCTTTTGCCCCGATCAACCTCTGTCTAAACACTGCTTTTGTCTGTTTGCTGGAGGGTCATTTTGTCTGTCTGATGATATTCCTTTAACTTGTTTATTTTTTTCATTTTTCCCTAAGTTTTTGGGATAGGATTTTCTCTTGTTTTGGCCTCTGTTTGTAGCCATTTATAACAGAAGGTCTTGTCAATTATGTCTCCCTTAGGGACCAAACACTGGGGGAGCGCTAGATGGATCCTGGATCCTAGAACACTGCTCAGATTATAAATCACACTCCGTAATGTAAACGCAAAGCTTAGTACTTAAATCCACATCTCTCATTTGCAGTTCTCTTTTGCAAATCAAATAGTAATAGATCAAAGGTGTGTTGACATTTTCTACAACTTTAATATGAGTATTGTATGGCCAGTGCTTAAACTCATGAAATAAACAGTAATTGCACTGTACTATACTAGATAGATTGAAAAGAAAGGTTGTAAAGTTTCATTGTATTAACCTTTCATTATGTGTGGCCTCTACCTTGATTTCTTTTTTTAAATAGACCAAACTGTCCCACCAATCTCGAAATTTTGGAAATGTTGGTTTGAGAGAGGTCCAGAGGTCAAATTCTCCTTTTCTACTCTGCATATCACTTACATATCAAACATCGTTTGTTGACTAATTTAACGCATATTCTGTGATCTTTGACCAATCACCATGCTGGTTAACTAGAGAAACTTGAATGTTGCAATTTTAAAATCTGTTACTGAATCCCTTTTTGAAGCAATGTTAACAGCACATAATAGAATAAGCAATTCTAGAGATTTGTTCATTTTGTCATCCCTAGAGTGAGATTTCAGAGCGAAAAATCATTTTTTTGTTGCAGCTTCTGTGTTTTTTGTAATTGATGGGCTCTGGGGGCTCGGTAAATGGGGGGTAAAGTTGAAACTGGATGGGGTGGGGGCTGTTAGCATTCCCCTTGCCTTTTGGATTTGATTAGAAGCCCTGCCTGTTTTGCTGCATGTCTAAATGGCCTCTGCTTTTACGCTATGAAATGGTTGCTGGTCCTCTCTTGGTTGCTTTCAAATGAATTACTACAATGTAATGGACAGAAAAGATGCTCTTGCTGACTTTGTTGTGACAAAAAGTCTGTAAAAACAGAAATAAAAATATCTATAAAAAAGTGTTTTTTCACTCTGCTTTATTTGAAACCTCTGCGGTTATCTGTTTCTAAAAAGCCTGAACTTACTCACAATTCGTTTTTTGTTTAAATGTATCCACCAATCAGCCTACTGGTTTCCTCTTCTGGAATCTGATGAATAACAGGTAGCTTTCTAGCATTGGTTACTTCATGCTGTTTGACAAATATTCTCTTGCCTGTGGCCATCTAATCATTATTTGTGAACTCAAGCGACCCCCTCCCAAACATAAAAAAAGTGCAGACTGTAATCTTTGTTGTCATACCAATCTACCGCCTCGAGCTGTTCCATTAGGAATCACAGACTGACTCCGACTCCCAATAGATTTGTCTGAGTGTCTGGATTCAAATAAGCTCCACATATAATCGGAAAGTCACTTCTAATACAGAAAATACACCACTACCCACACACAATGATAGCAATCACACCAAGTGTCGTCATAGTTACTTTAATCATTTCCATTTGTGTGACCACTGCATCACAAATACAACTCATGGCTTATGATAGCATAGTGGAATGATTATGAGGGATTGCATTGTCATAAAGGTAATGTTTCACCAACATTCATTATCATCAACACTTAAATACATTTGTATTTGGCACCTGTTGTGTGCTATATTGTTCAGCCCATAGCAAACTGTTGAGGGCCATGCCAGGTGTTGGACTTTATTGTTCAAAGAGGAACAACAGTGTTATGACGGTTGTTTTGCCCTGAAAATTAAAGACAAGCTCAGTGTGATGTGCATCCAGTAACCAGGGGAAGAAATATCAAACAATAATCCTGCTTTAAGGTTTTTGAGCTACTTGGTAATCATACCAGTTCCTATACCTGAAATGCTCGGGGTGCTATAGGAGATACGAACATCAGTCAAATGTTCGTTCCTTTTGTGGCTCTCAGGTGTACGTTCAAAAATATTTTATTCTTTACTTCACACTACTCTCATTCAGAAAAGTCTGAGGTTTACAACGGATAACTATACAAACTAAATAAACTCTTCATTCTATCTGTTTAGAAAAAATTGTTGTATCAACAGCTTATCAGCTTTTCTTGTATTGGAATAAAATGAACCAACATTTTGATGGAAATATGTTGGATTGGTTTATTTGTAATCCTTCTGCCATATGTCAATCTTGATCAAGTACCCATTTATCATATCCCTTGGAAATGTGGGATAAAGGGTTGTATGTCACAAATCGAGAATCAGTGATTTCCCAGGATTCCTGGCTAAAATCTGTTTGCGAAACCTACTGATTTTTTTTGAACTTCCAAATTCTAATTTCACCCCTGTCAAATGATGCCCCTTAAAGACAAGTCCAGGGTCATTTTTGTTTGCAAATAATTGCATCTACCCTTTTAGTGAAATAAAATTGTTACTTCTTTGTTCGACATAATGACCCACATCTACTTTTTCCAGCACTTAATCAAGGTTCAAGGTTTTTATTTTTGTCATACGAACATAGCTACAGTGTAGTTATGACGATGAAAATCTTAGGTCACAGGCTCCTCCAACAGTGCAACACAATAAAACAGGTAAACAGAAAAATATAGTGCAAGTAAATAGTAAATTCAAAAAGAAAAATGGTTTAAAAAAGTGAAATAGTGCAATAAGAGTCTATATGCAAGTTATTGGAATATGATATACTAGATAAATAGCTACATAATTTCTAAATAGCAGCCAGATGAATGTTATGGATGTTGTTCAGCATCAGATTCAGAATGCCTTTATTAGTCCCACAGAGGGGAAATGTACAATTTATGCCGTATCAAACTTGCACTTAGTTCAAACTTTTATTCAAAAAAGTGGAAGTTTCAGGAGTAACTTTATACACATTCAGCTTGAGAATTGGATTATTTGGAAAAGTTGGGATCTCCTCTATAATTTAAAATAAAGTTATATAGTTCTGGACACTGCTTTTCCAGATGACATGAGTTAGTAATGGTGGACCTGCCAACGAGTCCATGGGGTGAAGAGGGCAGTAGAAATCAATAGAAGTGTGTAGCAGAGCTGGAGTGTGTTATGAAGAACTGCATCAGGTCCTGTCAAATGAACGTGACCGTACATGTTAATGAGACAGACACATGCCTCTGTAGGCCACTTGCCATGTTTGTCTAATAGCGCCAGAGGACAAAGACATATCAATTATTGTAGGGGCAAACATCGATATAAAATGACTGCCACATGTTGACAGCCTCGTACACCCCAAACCCTACGAACTTATTTCTGCTCATTTAAATTACTTACAAAGGAACGGGGAAACACTGAGGTCCGCTCTTGGTTGACAGCAACAATCTCGGAATATAAAAGACTTCATTTTTCCCTTTGTCTTTGTCGAGCCATCAAATAATCTTTATGTCTGCAGAAGAAAAGCCCATGATTCAGGCTGATGATAAATGTGAAATGAATCATTGGCAATACATTTTCATTTAGTCCTCGAAATGCTTTGCTGCACAGACTCCTTTGGCAATTCCTAGGCTTTCCCAAAGGCACTAATACTGCTGAGGATCATTACTTTAGTATCTTGTTTACATCCTGTGCGCAGTACGCTGGTCATGCACTGTGCAGATCAGTGGTTTTCAAAATTATTTGCCTTTTTTACTCCAAAAATGAGTAAGAATGTTCCACAAGTCCATTCTGATGAGTTTAATTGGAAATCACACATAACTGTTATTGAACTCTGCTCCCACATCTACTAGATCTGAGGGGAGTATTTCAACATGAAGAATTTAATCCACTGTTTAATAGAAAACAACACATTTCAAAAACATTTTCAATTAAGATTTGCAAAATGCATACAGTACCGCTCCCTCATATAGATACCGAAATAGAACTTAATTAATTGTCTCTGTAGTGATTACCAGATGTGGTAATTAGCATGTGCGCCCACATACATGCACAGAGATGTATGCAAGCACACACACAATCTCTCTCTCTCTGTCTGGTGTTTTTTTTTTATGCGGAGCTACCCTTGTGATCAAGCAGCTCAAAATGGTGGTTAATGAAGTAACAAATCCAAGTCATTAGCATAATTAATATGGACCCCTGATTGCCTTTTGGGTGTCTCTGCTTCTCTGTCTTTAATCTATTATTGACTCCTTGTCTCGCGCATTAGTTGAGCTTATGACTGATTTTCTAAAAATCTATAACTTATTTCCCTAGTTGTAGTTCAGCGGTCACGTGACATGAAGTATAGCCAACCGTGAAATCAGGCATTAAATCCAAGGAGTCCCACAAATTGAAAATCACTGTATAGATGTGTGATTTAGATTGAACATTAGAATTTAACTAATTTATGTATTTGGTGTTAATACGGCTTGTACTGCTATGGGGGCATACATATTTATTGTTGGGGGAGCCAGGGATTTACGGATCTTCTTAAAAATGAGAATCTTTTGAAGCAGGATCCATGCGTTAGGCCCTTTTATCACTTTAATTTAAAATAAGGATTTCTGCCATTACTATCGAAGCAATTTCTCTGTCAGAATTTGTCAGCGTGCCAAATTGTCCTTATTGTCTCTGTTTTGTAGTCATCAGAGAACTGATATCTCCAAAAGAAAGGGAGCCCACGAAACCCATGGTATGGTTTTCACACTTTACATATATAGACAGACAATGTTCCACCTGCCTAAATATAACTTACAGAATGCACTCTGCAGAGTAAATACATATGCCGACATTCACGCTGACAGCATCATCAATAACAAACTACCACAGTTCCAACGTGTGACTTTATTGCACAATATACATTTATTTTAGTATACCTCAACAATGGAATTATGATCAGTAGAAATGGCCATGACATGGGACCTTTAAGACAATGTGATGAGGCAGTCCATTTGTCACTTTTTTTGTTGCTGCTTGTATCTCCTACATTAGCTACCTCTGCTTCACCTATCTACCTATATTCAAAGTGTTACATTGCACTATAAAGCTAACATATGCTGTTGATGATAACGGCCCAAAAAATCCACCTCTTCAATCGTATAAAGTGCATGGCACCAACTCTAAGTAAGCGCTATATTTCTCTAAAGCTGCATGGCTAAAGGACTCTTTGTTTTTATGTTTAATAGGGTAGCGTATATATAGAGAGAGCAATAGTAAGGGGTCTTTAAATAATATAATATCATAGGGAGAGCCAACAGTACATGCTTATGTTTCTTAGTGAAGTGTACTAAAGGACATTGGGGGACATTGTGTTTCCTCCTTATGAAGCTCAGATAAACAGTTAATGTCCCCATCTTCTGTTATAATACTATCAAACACTCAAATAGGTGGTTTAACAGTGGTCTTTTGCATCATAGTTTAGAGACAGGTTGAGCAATAGGTTTCTACTAGAAAATAAATAAAGAGACCTGCCAATGAAATAAAGATTTAATCAAATGAAATAAGTTATTAAAACTTCTGAGCTAAGTTAGAGAGAGAAAAATAGACCGGGTTTGTGATTCACATTATTATCAGTGTCTTCCTAGTCTATTGAGCAGCTATAGAAGACATTTAAAAGCGGGCAGTTGTTCCCTGGCAGGCTCATATACACATGCATAAGCATAAATCTCTTACGGCCTATTTACTTATCAGTCCCTCTTTGTTTGTACTGTGAGCCAATGTGCGATGAGCCAGATCTAAATCCCTCTAGATGCCTCAGTGCAAACGTTCTTCGCCGAACAGCCATTTGCAGAGAAATCGATGCAACCACAATGCTATTAGGAACATTTTAATTGGATATAAAAGCGGATTCATTATTACTGTTATGACGGCTGAGCACGTCGAATGCAGCGTGGCTGCCAGCCATGGATGTGCACTCAGAGGAAGCCTGGGTAATTTGTCTGAAGACAACACGCCTGCGCTGCATTGTGAATTTCTGTTTCAGCGACTTTGAAAATAAATTCAGTTAAAACTATATTTCTAAACTTCTCTGCAAAGCCAAATGAAGATTTAACAAACGTGCCCATTAAGGCACCCAATGGCTCATATACGTATGATGTTAGAAA